GTATAGAGTGTATTTCTTAGGCAATTGCAGTTAATAATTAGCCATCTCTGTTTCCCTTTTTAGGAAAGGATAAATCTAACTCTTCATTTTCAATTCTACTTCCTTGCAGTACTCCCATAAATCATTCAAGGGAGTTAATAATCTAAAATAAAATACAATTAAAATCAAATAAAATATTTTGATTGCCCCTATAATAGTTTTAAATATTTTTATTTGGTTTTTAATTATTTACATTTTATTTTAAATTATTAACACCCTTGAGTGACTTATGGACAGAAAGTTGCATTTTTAGTAAAGGTTTTTATATGGGGTATTTTAGAGCAGGCCTTTTATTTAATATTTATTGTGATTTTTATTATCACCTGTTCACCGCCCTGAGTCCCGTAAGGGAGATAGGGCGGTATATAAATTTTAATAATAATAATAATAATAATAATAATAATAATAATAATAATAATAATAATAATAATAATAATAATAATAATGTACTGTAAATCAAAATAAGAATAAATTTTCCCTATTACACCTAAATGCTATCCAATAGTTATGAATTCCTTAACAGGATACATGTATAAGTCTAATTGCTTCCCCAAATCACTGCTGCAATAATTTTTGAAGAATGCTGGCTGCTTAACCTCTGGAAAATTATACTTGCTGTCTAACTTTAAAATGTCCTCAGTTTTGTCATCAGTCCCTTTTGGAGCTTTTTTTTAAATTTTAAGTTATTTATACTAAAATATTTTTGTGATAAATGCTTATTGGTATTTGTTTTGTGTCTTAACTAGCTATTTTGTATGAATTGCTATACGAAAAAGTACTTGACGTTGATGTGAATAAAGTCTTAGAAGAACTGAGCCATGGTGATTTGATTAAGAATGGCAGAGGGAGCACCAAAGAATCTGATTCGGAGGGTGAAGATCCAGAGTAAGTAAGCCTGTGTGTTTAAAGTTAACAATGGTAGGTCAGATACAACTTATTCTACCATTATAGAGAGAATAATGTACAGAAAAGCAAAACAGTATGTGGAATGTTTTTCTCGAAACTACACACATTATCACGTTTACTGAGTATTACGGGAATTTCACCTCAAAGAAATCTGTATGGTGTCAGATTGAGGAAGAGCATTGTATATACATCAGCTAAATAATATGACTAAATTGTTACAGAAATCCATTTTGGTCAAAGGAAAGGATGAGGGATAGGGGATTAATTCTCCCTTCTTATAATACGTGCTTTGTATGGTTCTTTAGGACCTTATTTCACTCTATTAATCAACAAAGGATACAATCTTATATCCTTCTTTTAGTCAACCTGTGTGTCTCCATCAACCATAGTTCTTGACAACTTGATTGATTGCATATGTAGAAAGTATATGTAAGATCATATACATACTAAACGTACAATTTTTGATTCAGAACCACACTTTGCATTGTTCTGGCAACAAATACATTTTGATTTAAAAACCCAGTTACTGGTGCAAAATACCACTCTCAACTTTATATCACAATGAAATTAGAAATTGTATCCTTGGCTCAGAGGGTGAGGCAGGAGCTCTTATATTTCCCATCAATAGTATTGTAGAGAGCATTTGAGTTGATAGTTAAGTTCTTGCACAGTGATGTTCGGTATCGCCAGAATTTTAATAGTTTGCAAATAAGAAATAGGTTGCTGCTCCATTTTAAAACAGGGTGCTACTGAAGATGTTGAACTACAAGCTAATCAATTGCCTTTTATTTTTACTGACACCATAGGCCTTAGTTGCCCAGTTAACACATGCATAGGATATGATCTTAAAGCTAGACTTACAGCTAGCTTTTTCTCACTTGCCGTCTTCCAAATGTGTTGGAATTTCAAATATGTTGAGTGTGCGACTCTCAGAAGTCACATATAAAGATTGCAGTTTTGGAAGATAACATGAGAATTTTTTGCCTGTTTGTTTTAATTTCCAGTATCTCTTCTGTTGGTATCAGAGTTAATACAGAAAGGCATTACAGCTGAACTTGTGAGCTGGATAGGGTTAAAAATTCTCACCCCCTGAGATTGAGGCTGGTTCCAACCCTGTTGGCCTTCTGGAAGGCCCTCAAAATATATATATATACACGCACATACATACATACATACATACATACATACATACATACATACATACAGGAAGTTTTTCAGACAGACCGGTCTGATTCATTACACCTTGACATTTTTAACTGCTATACTGCAGTTTTACTTTTTACAATATCTTTTGCCTTGCAGCCCCCCAACTAGGGGTGTTAAGCAGGCTCAAGTCGCAAGTGGAAAACATTTTAAATCCAAATTTCTTTATATATATATACATATTATTTTATGCCACATAGGGTCACTTTGTGGGTGACTATAAAAAGGTGATAAAATAAATAATTGCTGAATTTTACCACTAAGTCAGCCACACTTAAGATGGCCAGTGGGGTTGGGGGGGCATAATTGATGGTATGGGGACTATATATGAACTGCTGAGATGAACCACTGAGGTGCATAAGCTCCCTTTGCTGTCCCTGTCCAAAATAATTTTTAAGTTTAATATTAAACTGGTTGTGTATATGTTTAATTTGGTCACAGTGGGTTAGTACTGGCTTCATAGAATATCATTCCGTTGAAGGTGCTCGGAGTGAAATGCACTGTATCCCTATGCTCCTCAGAGTTTATTTCTTTCATAAGAGTAAACACTAATAATGGTTGTTTATATGAAAACAGAGTTCTTGCTTGATTTTGAAATGTTTTTGTTGTATATCTTTTCCTTTGTCCAGAAGTGAAAGGGCTGTAACAAGTTATACAAATGGCAAGAAGGTATTTTATTTCAGTCTCTTTACCTATTTATTCAATGTCTATGGCTGTTCCTCTTATATAGTGTGACTCTGGGTGATTATATTAACTTGTTGAATTTTTGCAATCTACTGTATGTTGGAATCAAAGTTGCTACTATCTATCTTCTAAGACAGGGGTAGGCAACCTTGGCTCTTTTATGACTCGTGGACTTTAACTGCCAGAATTCCTGAGCCAGCCATGCTGGCTCAGGAATTCTGGGAGTTGAAGTCCACGAGTCATAAAAGAGCCAAGGTTGCCTACCCCTGTTCTAGGAGAATTTACTTGGTATTCTCTTAATATCTTTAGTAGGTGAAAGAGAGCTAATACTCCAGAGCCCATGGGCCTTACTGGCAAGTAAAAATAAAATAAAGTAAAATAAATCCTGTAGTTTCATCTTCTGGTCATACAGTGTTGTGTGTGACTTAGGAAAGAAACTCCTCTCCTTTGGTAGACCCATCTTCACAAGGTATAGAGAAAGAGCAGATGGTAAAAATTCCTTTTTAAAAGTATTCATATATAAAATATTCAGTGCCGGAGAGAGAAAAAAATGAATTTTTTTAAAGTCAATATCTGAAAATGATCTGCTATAGAGAAATTATGAAGGGCAGTATATGATTTAGAGAATATCATAAGATAGATCTGCTATTAATATAAAAACATCTTGGAATTCTTTATCTGGGAAGTAAGAAGTATAATCTGGTGAATATAGGAAGGCATCAGAACAAGAATGTACAAATATCCACTCATTTAATGACCACTCAGTCAGTGACTGTTCTAACTTTTGATGACATGGAACAAGTGGTACATTTGACTTAAAGTTCCAACTTGTGCACACAATCGTGATCTGGATGCTTAGCAATCAGCCTGGATCTCCAATCCTTGCAGCATCCCATGGTCTTGGGAACATGATATGCAACCTTCCCTGATGAGCTTCCCATAAGCAAAGTAAATGGGGAATCTGGCAGGAAGTTTTAAGTCATGACCATGTCATGTTTTACTTAATGATCTGTGTAGTCCACATTTAAAGATGATAACGGGGGACTCTTGGAACTGCCACTACTAAGTGGCATGGTCATGTGACATCATGCTTTACAACTGCATCAGTTAGCGACAGAAATTGCAGTCCATCATTAAGTGAGGACTAAATATAATACATTGCAGCTGATGCTATTACTGTCAAAGATTTAAAGAGTTAAACCTAACTTTAAAAGGTTGTACTAATCTATAAAGTGATAGAAACAGCAGTTTAGATTAAAGGGAAGGCAAGAGAAGCTTAATCCCATTGAAATTAATGAGAGTAAAGCCCATACAGTAATTATGTTTTAAGGCTGGATTTCTCAACAAACTCCTATTACAGTGAAGAAGACATTCAATATGATGGAACTTCTGAATTAACACATAAAGGATCATGCTGCAAATTGCTTTGAGCATTTGCTGCATGTAATTTTTTCTTTATATGCCTTTCAGGAAAAATTAGCTTACCCAGATGTAATCAGAAAAGAAAATATTGAAGTTGCTAATCAGTGATATCTTGTGAGTTATGCAGTTGATAAGCTTTGCATTACATGTTTATCAACTCAGAAATATAAGGCTATTGCATTTTTAACAATTATCCTGAATAATATTTAGAAATTTTTACATGAAGTTCTTATTTTGTATATAAGTTTGTAAAGTTTTGATTTAATAATCAATATGCTATTGCTTGAATTTGCTTCAAATTCTTTTTATATCCTGTATAGAATCGTTCACTTGTTTTTCTAAGTATTCTTTATCCTTTTGCACAATAGCTTCATAAACATGGGAAATCTCACAATGTGATGAGTTTGCCTGGAAAGGTTCTTCGTTCCCTTAATCCATTAGTTTACCAAAATATTGAATATGAAGTCTGGCGGCAGTCAAAAATAGGTAAGGACTAATGCTGAATTCATTTACTCTGGGAAGATAGGCAGAGGAAGCTGAGTATCTTTTTGTGCTTACCTAAGAGTATAATATAATGCATTTTCTTTTTGTGCTTGCAGATCAGCAAAAACAAGATTTTTCTATTGCTGCTGGCATGCAGTATTCAGTTGGAGATAAATGTAAAGTAGGTGTCATTACATCTGAGTAACTCTGCTTAACAGCTCTTTCATTTTTCAGTATTATGCATAGTGTTTCACTTAGATTACTATTTTTCCCCCATCAGGGATATATGTTTTAAGAGCAGCTTTGCAAGGCAGAAATGTGTCTGGAGCAAGCACGATGATATAGGGATAGGAGAATTTGCTGTTGAGTTAAATTTGCACTGACTCTGTAGGATGAAATGTTGATAAGCCTACTGTTTATTTCATTGTGCTACTTTGGCTTATTATCTTGTGCTCCGTTTCTGATTCAGCCATTTGTTTATTATCTTCATTTTCTCACTTTGCCTGGGTGATAACTCCCAGTCCCCCCCAGGTATAGTGGCTTTGGAGCATCTGGAACATTCTATAGTTTCTGCTCATTGTCTTGCTTCTTCTTGTGCACTTGGATTCAATTAGTGATTCGTTTCAAGCAAAGTATAGTTTTCCAGCATAGGTATAACAGCAAATGTTGGTTTGTGTTGACATGGAGCAACTATTTTATTTTAATATTTTACTTTAATTAATATTGATTTTGTATCTCATCTTTCTGTCTTTAAAATTCAGGGCTATGTACAACAATAGTATAAATAATAATAATAATAATAATAATAATAATAATAATAATAATAATAATAATAATAATAATAATAATATGAACAATGAAATTATATAACTGAAATAATTAGCAGTCTTTAAAACAATTCTGCATTATAATCTTGGTGAATGAGATGCACTTTTACTATTTTTTTAAATACTGAAGAAATGGAAATCAAACATACCCTTTCAAAAATGCACATTTCCTAGGCCAGGGGTAGGCAACCTGGGGTAGGCATAGCTGACTCAGGAATTCTGGGAGTTGAAGTCCATGAGTCATACAAGAGCCGAGGTTGCCTACCCCTACCCTAGGCTGAGGCCACACAGAAGGTCCCTTTTTCATGTACCTACTAGCCAAGCTTCTGGCAATAACAACATTTTCAGAAGGGCTTCTTAGGTAATCACATCTTCAGTTACTTAAATTGTGCTTGGTAGGGAACTGCGATTGCCTTAAAATCAGAAAAATCTATTGGGTCAAAGCAGGGGCCCAATAGAGGCCCTATGGATTATGGAATAAAGAACGGCAGATGCCATGTGTTTGGCTCAGTTTCAACTTACTGTACGTCTAAGAAGTTTACCAATATTTTTGGCAGAAAGACATTCTGTATCTGGTACAAGAGTTAACTTACAATTACCATGACATGTATTCATTGTTAGCTTTGTTTTCTTTTTTAAAGAATTGCTATTCATTGGCACAACTTGTGGCAATTGATTCCAGAATTTAAAGTGTTCTATCACTAAAGAAATACTTTATTTAACCTCTCCTGATTTTCTCACCGTTGTTTATCATTGAATTACCTGTATTGCACTAAAATTAGAGGAGATTAAAAAATTCTTCCTAACTTATAAACCTCTTTCCTGTATTTCCCTTTGCATATAATTTATTTTAATTACTCCATAGGTATATTTAGATCACAGTGGAAGGTATTATAATGCTCACATTCAAGAAGTCCAGTCTGCAGATGGACCAGTTATTGTTTTTGTGGAAGAACTTGGTGTTAAGTAAGTAACCTTAGGATAAATGGTGGAATAGTAAATACTGTGGAATAGCCTAATTTGTGAAGTAATAGACTCTCTTACTTCACATATTAGAAGCATTTATGGATGTCAGACATAAATTTTTGATGACCACACAAGATCCCCTCCAACTCTGTAATATATCAATGTAATGTTCTAAACTAAAGTATACACATTTTGCTTTCCAAAAGAGAATATTGTTGGTTTCTGTTTGGTCAGATTTTGTCTGGCTGGCAAAATATTAATGAAAGATTAACAGATAATGACATTTGTCAGTGGTGCATTAAAAAGGCAGGATGGAAATTTGTAGATAAATAATAAATATTCAGTGCTAGAGTGTTTTGAATTAGAGATTCTGGAAAGGACTATATATTTTTGAGGCATTGTGTCATGTCCATTAAACAACCCTCTAATATTTAAGTAATTCCCAAAATTACTAAATGTATATTCTCTTAGACGTAAATACAGTGTTTTGGTAATTGCATGTGATAGTAAATATTTATTATGCAACTATAAATGTTAGATACTAAAATGAATAATGACATTGATGATGTTCAGAGAAATACTTTTTATGCAAAATTATTGGGAAATTCTAACAATTTATTTAGTAGTTCTTTTATATCGCTAGCAAAATTGCATTTACTGGGGCAGATATAAAACTCCAGTCTAGCAGGAAATGATGAAACTATGTTGAAAAGTAGTGGTTAAGGCATCAGGAACCAGAAAACTTGCCTTAGGCATGAAAGCCAGTTGAGTTATTTTGGACCATTTACTTTCTCTCAATTCACCTCAACTCACAGGGTTGTTGTGAGTATTAGATATGTTCACCACCTTGAGTTATTTTAAAAAAACTATAAGAGCATAGTAAAATGTATTAAGTAAAATAAATTGTAAAATTATTAAATGTGAAAAACTATTATATATAGATCTGACTGTTAAAAACCAATCAAAATATGGGTTTTTAAAGCCAACAAAAGTTGGAGCCACCAATTTTGGAGAGAGGGCATGGCATTTCAGAAAATAGCAGAGATTGCTTATCTTACTGGAATGTATTTCAGTTGCTCAGGTTAAGTAAAAACATCACTAGATATAACTCTGTGATTCTTGCAGTTAATAATAGCAATGCAATACTGAAAAGAAGTATAGTGAAACACTGGAGAGGAGTGGGATAACCTTTTGCCTATTTGAAAGAAACACGAATTCTGTTTAAAATGCACAGTTTTAATTCTCGGTCATCTTATTATTTCTTAATATCATTTCCTTTATCTTAAAGTATTAAAATAATACCATGAGCAACATGAAGGTGATTTACTTTTTTGATTTATATCCCACCTTTCATTCAGGTATTCAAGATGGTAAATATAGCATTCCCTCTTCCCAGTTTTCTTCCACAAGAACAACCCTGTTGTGTAGCTAAGCATGTATTAGAAGTTGGGTCTCCTGTTCCTAATCTAGTCCCTTAACCACTATGCCTCTATTGTGCTATAGAAATGTAAATTAAACTCCCACACACACATACACAGACATTAAAAACTATGTTCCATAATTATGTATAGGTTCTGTTGGCAGCTTGTTTGGTTTTACTAATGCCTTCAATGCAGTGAAACTGCTGTACTACAGAGACTTTGTTTCTTCTTTCTTCCACCAGGCATTCAGTACTGCTAAGAAACCTTAAACCTCTTCCACAGGGAACTCCTTTGGAAACCTGGAGCACAGTACCAGGGAAGAAAATTAAAAAAACAGCTTCGGTGCAAGGACAAAATGTTCAGACTGGTATGAGTTTTTAACTTGAGTTCTACTGACTTGATTGCTGATCTGTTTTGGATTAATTGATGAAAAACATGTCTTCCAGATACAGATTGCAGAGGATCCAAAAATCCAAACAAGCTAATAAAAACTACATCAGGTCTGCCTCCTCGAATGCAAACCACAAGACAGCATCACTTGCCCAGTTTGGGGATGTCTTCTCAACAATCTTCTGCTCATCATAAAACGCAAGGCAGAAATCCTTTGCAAGCTGTTAGGTGACTAATATCTCATGCTCTTTGGCTACAACTTGACATTTTAAAGAGGAGTTACTAATGGCCCTTTCTTTGCTTTATTTCATTTCATTTTGGTTCAGTTTGAATTTCTTTTTCAAAATATTTGAGAGTGAAGATAGAAAAGAAAAATAATTATTTACAAAATGTAAAAATTACATAGGAAATTATAAAATACCAAGACAAGAGAAAATATTCCTCTACTATTTTACTAATAAATTAAAGCTGATGTAATCATATCTCAGTTTGACTCTTTAAAGACTGTTATTAAAGTCATAGGTTAACAAAAACAGCCAAAATGATAGGACTTATTAGAATAATGAGAAAAAACAAGAATTTCTAGCTAACATGAAGAAAAATTGAAGTAACCAAAGTTACTTGTCTGAAGTAAGTGTATGACATGTAGGAGATAAGCAGGCAGAGCTGGAAGGCGGGGTTAAATGTGTCATCAGTTTGGAATAATTACACAGCTACAAGAGACACAAGGCCAGTCCCTGCCATGAATTCCATTGATCCTGATCTAGTGTCACTTCAGCTTGGACTGTTAATTGATCCAATTCTTGTTTATTGGTAGCAGTAAACTCCTCAGTGCTTTAAATTCAGTGAGTGTTTCTGGTTCTTTGCACCTGACAGACATCAGACAGAATCTAAAGATTGAAGACATTTTGTTAGGAGAAACCTAAACTTGGATTATGCAAAATTGTATGGGTGGGTCCTCAATAATTGGAACTGGATATCTGTTGCTAAGTAATGTAGTTATAAAGTGTAATGTCATGTGACCCATAGTTTAGTGATGGCACTCCTTGTTGCCTTTGTTAAGGGACGATTGTGAGTAATCAAGGGAGTCCCAGACGCCTTGTATGCAGACTACCAGGCAGGTAAGGGACTGCTGCCAGGAGGGGGAGAACACAGTTTTGATACGTTGATGTACTTTTTGATAGGATTATTCTCCTTAGATTTTCTGTTGAGAAACTAAATGCTTTTAAAGCAAGGCATAATTCAGAATATTAGATTTGCCCCTTAAATTAGCAGAAGTTTAAACACAGGTTTTAACAGTAACATTTTTGCTTTAAATGAAGATATGTTTCCAGTGATAAAAAGTTTTAGATTAATTTGAAAGATAGGATTAGCTTTTAATCCAGGAATTTGGCAGGTCAAAGCAATCAACATCAGATGAAGCACCATTTGGCTACCACACATTGTATATGCAGTGCCAGAGTACCAGTTTCTAAAAACAAGACCAAATGAATATCTGAAATGCCATAAAAGGGGTGTGATGGCTCAGCGATTAAAGATGTTGAACTTGTCAGCTGAAAAGATGACAGCCAGGGTTCGAGACTCGAACTCCACACGACCGTGTGAGCTCCCATTACTTGCCCCAGCTCCTCCCAAACTAGTATTTGAAAACATGCAAATGCGAGTAGATAAATAGGTACCACTTCGGTGGGAAGGTAACAGTGTTCCGTGCACTTTTGCGTATGGCCATGCTGGCTACATGGCCATGAATGTGTCTTTGGACAATGCTGGCTCCCTCAGCTAAGAAATGGAGATGAGCACCACCTCCTAGAGTCAGACATGACTGGACAAAGGAAATCTTTACTATTTTTTAAAAGGGTGATGAAACTGTTGCAGTTTTAATAGATGTAATTTCCCCCCCACAGAAAAACAGATTGCGAGACAGTGCAAGAATTGGACCACCCAAACAAGAATTGTAATGCTGGTCTTTCTCCAGAGGAACATGAAGAGAAAGAAGCTGTAAATGAAGTTAATTCACTTTATGAAATTCAGTTCCAGGATAAAGAAGCTTTCCCTGCACTTTTGGTATGTGTGCTGGGTTTATCATTGGACTGTTTGTATTCTGGATTACAGTACATTATTATTCTGTTCCAGTGAATAATGAAAGAGAATTTGTCTTTCTCGCAACTGAAATATTACCTGATATGTTTTGCTTTGCCAGTTGAATCTGTTATGTACTATGGCACTTAAATAGTACAGACATTCTGCACCAATCCCAAGATGTCTAATAAGATAAATCAAATTCTAAAATGTTTTCTTTTCAGAACATGGGGATCCTTCAGACAATGTTGGCACCAGCATCCAGCTTAATTAGGTACATATTGGAGGCATCTAAGAGCTGCACAGTTTATGTAACTTAGCTTACGTAACTATACTGGACAGCTCTCCCATATTAATGACTTTAGACCCATCTCTAATATCCATGTTAAGGCTTGGTGCCATTTTTGACAGCAGTGCAAATTGAGATATCAGTTTGATAACCAGACAAATAAGTGAGAAGGGTTGCTAACAACAATACACACTTTGCGTTCCTAACACTATAAATAGTTTTTAGATATTAGATATTATCATTTTTCTCAGTTAAGAAGCACAGAAGAGATTGTTCTACTGTAGGGGCAAAGAAAAATCTTACACTATAATATTAGACAAGACTTATCTGATCCATTAATTTGTGTGCAGAAATTAGTTTTCAAATATTTATTACAATGAAGTTAAGTATGGTGAAGGAGCATAGCCACAACCTGATCTTCCTGGTTTTGTTCATAGGCTGGACACATTCAGTATTTCATGGTATTTCTCTTTTCCAGTAGTATTTTGTTTAATAGTATTTCCTCATGTTCCTCATTCTGGTTTTAAAAATCAGGGAGTTTTGTGATGCAGAATGTTTGCTAGGCTAAGGAAGAACAGCACCATTGTGCTAATAATTAGACTTTGAGATTATATATTCAGAACAGGAAAAATTACTTGGATTGGTACTCAAGACTAGGAAGTTCAAAAGGAACAGTTAGTCATTTTGTTGCTGAGAGTGTACGTTTAATAATTCATTCTCAGTTTAGGGAAGATTACCTGACTTGGATTTTAACTGCATACTAGATGACCCATCCTTTCTTGGATCATTATTTCAAAGATGTTTCCTTACCTAAACAGATAAACAGGGATTATGGGCAGGTAGTAGAGTAGTGGGAGTTAGAGCAAGTTCAAGATCTGAGGTATCCTGTTATTTTCTTTAAGAAAAAAAAACAGCGAAGACAATTTTGCTAAGATTACCTCATCTTACTGGGCAGCTTGGTAAAATTATTAAGGCTTTATATGAACATATTAACCTAAATTTTGAGTATAAGGACTTTGTGGCTCTTGCTTACCAGGACTTTCATATAAAATTAGGGGTTCCCTCAGTTCATATTTGATTCTTTCAGAATCCACCTGTGTCTCAAGTAGCTACACAGACTAATGAGACCTTTGCATGGCAAACACCCCAAGTTCCTAATGGGAGAAGAATCGGCAACATGAAGGAAGAACAGGTGACAAAAAATAAAGATGCAAAGGATGAGAAAGGTATGATCAAAGGCAGATATTGGGCTTTCTTTGGATTGACAACCAATATATTTTCATATTAAATATATTAATATATTGTTCAATAAAGGAGATAACCTATTAAAAGAATACTACAAACTGGAGGGTTTGGAGACCCTAAAATCTTGGTGTAGTTTCAGACCATGGATGAATAAACCTATGCCAGTGGTGGCGAACCTATGGCACGCCTGCCAGAGGCGGCACCCAGAGCCCTCTCTGTGGGCACGTGCGCCATGCCCCGGAGATGGCAACCGTCCTCTTCAACCAGTTGCCTGCTAACTCGCCGAGGTCCCATGTGGCTGGATGCATCCCAGCACCCATGCGCTTGCTGGCCTCTGTGTGCGGGGGCCGATGGTGCCAGGCAGCAGCTGCCCCAGCCCCTGCCTCACCCTGCGACAATGGCACCCCCGCCCTGCCTCGCCTTGCCTCGTCTCATCCCACAGAACCAGCCTCCTGCCCACCGCCCCACCCGCCAGAGACCCCCTGGATCTCCCACAACTCTGCCCAGGCCCCCACAGGCATCCCTCCCCAGGAGCAACATCGAGCTGGCCACGCCCACCCGTCTGCCATGACCACTGTAGCCATGCCCACCCGGTGCCCATGCCCGCCTGGCACCTGGCGATACGTAAGTGGGTTTTGGGTTGAGGTTTGGGCACTTGGTCTCTAAAAGGTTCACCATCACTGGCCTATGCCATTCTAGATTATTAGATTTCAGGTTCCCGTGTTGTTGGTTATATTGGCTAGAGATGATACAGAAGTTCATAACATCTGAAAGTTGCAATACCTGCTTTCCGATATTTTGTCATTTCATTAATTTTGCTGCTTTCTTACACATTATTGCAGTGTCTAATCTTGAGCAGATTCTTGCAGATCAGAAGTTGGATCCCAGAATGTCTATGGTAAGCATGGTGCACTGTGATGCATCCTGAGCATCTTTTCTTCTTTTGTAAAATGGATACCATCAAATATCCTTTTTAATTTGCAGGACACTAAGAAGGATATAGCTGCTGCAGGTATATTATCTCCCTCAAGCAATGGAAATATTCATTCACTACCGATTGAGCAAGTAAGAGATGTATGTTTAACTTTATGTAGCCGTTTCAGGGGAAAGATTACATTAATTGCAGTTTGTCTCAAAACTTGAGTTTTAGGCAAATTATTGAAATTCATATTCTTCTGTTGGAATCTTAAATACAATCCATTAAAATATATTGCAACAATCCTGTCAGAATTACTAGAATCTGTATAATGTAAATTGTTCACTAAAGATATGTGTCTTAACTAAGGATATTTAGTATATCTAATAAAGGCTACCAAGTCCCACAACATCAGACGTCTGTCAACCTTGTAGCTTTATTGGATTTCTGACATTTGACAAATCCAACACTGTTCAGTGTGAATGCCTTTGGAGTCAGTTAAGCAGAGCAACTGACCTGGTCTGCTCTCTGTTTGGTCTGAAAGCCAATTTATTATAGGTTTATATGATCACTTTGTTCAAGGATAGTAATACTGAAGCTTTTTCTCTTTCTTTTTTTCTTTCTTTCTTTCTTCTTTCTTTCTATCTATCTATCTATCTATCTATCTATCTATCTATCTATCTATCTATCTATCTATCTATCTATCTATCTATCTATCTCTATCTCTATCTCTATCTCTTTCTTTCTTTTTCTTTTTTCCCCAAGAAATTGGCTGCATGTTGGAAAATAAATTCTTGATCTAATTAAATAGAATTCTTTTTTTATATTTTTTGGGGGGGACCAATGAAGAATGTGGGAAGGGAGAGTGAATATTAAGCTACTTCAGATTGAGTTGCCCTTATTAAAGATGGTAGGACTGTGTAATGTGTACTGTTAATTTGCCTTAAATTGTCTTGTAGTAAGGATGTTTTATATGCAACTGATCATGGAATGCAAATGTTGCCAATGATGTTTTGCGTAAATTATACTTTGGCCCATGTTCCCGGCATAGTTCCAGGAAGGCAAGACTGGTTCAACTCAAGGGGACTGAGCAAAGAATTGGGCTATAAAATTGCAAAATTAATTTTCTGATTTTAAAACTGAATTAGATTGTTTTAATTTAAAATATATTACAAATGATTAAAAAGCATTAAAAGTCCATATTATTTTTACAGGAACCTTTATCAGGTATAAATGCTACCCCATCTCCAACTGTTCCTGAAATACATTTGCCTCCCACTGTGCCTTCTGTACCAGCTCTTTTGCCCGCTTGGTCAAGTGAGTCAATAGACTACGGATTAACAGGTTTGCAGGAGAAAAACTCTTTTAGTCCTAAACTGGTTTTTCAATAGACCATTCTTAGCACTTTTATACTAACCAATATTCAGTATTCAAAGGCCAGATTAAAGTAATGTCTGTTACTTTACATGTGTGTGCATAAATGTATAAGTATGTAAGTCTGCTTGATATTGTGGTTTCTTATTCATTTACACACACACACACACACACACACACACACCTGCATTTCAAATACATTCATAGCAGTATATAATAAAAGTAACTATAAAATATAGAAATTATTATCCATAAAGGCCATAATATTTCACAGTTGAAAAACCAAGTATTGCCCATGCTGTACTTCATTTCACCCTCTGCTCTGCAAACATTCTGATGTTTGGGGGCCTTCAATAACGCCTTTGGTTGAATTTGTACTTTTCTCTGCCTGTCTTGGATAATTTGAGAATAGCAGCTGTTTTTTTCAGTTGCTTAGATTTACGTTTGTTTGTGTTTTTCCTTGTTTATATTTTAGGTGTTCCGTCCCAAATCCCTGTGTCCTCTGTGATGGCAACACCAACCATTGGACTAGATTCAACTCTGAGTCAGGCAACCTCCAATCCAGTTGCTGCCATTCCAGTAACACTCCAAGCAGTTAATCAGCCTTTAATACCTATGCCTCAAACACTGAATCTTTATCAGGATCCCTTGTACCCAGGATTCCCAATAAATGAAAAGGGGGAACGAGTTATTACTCCTCCATACTCCTTGTGTGGTACAGGAGAAGATCTACCAAATGGTAAGAGAGTTGTTCCTTCCTTATCAAATGAAGTGTGTGTGTGTGTATGTGTGTGTGTGTAAGTGGTAACAGTAGTGGGAAATGCTGTATATTTAGTAGTAGTAGTTTCAACTGTTCAGTCATGTCCAACTCTTGACACTTGTTCAGGCAAGTGCTCTCCATGCTATATATATAAAACTCCAGAAAAGTGGAACAAGCATGACGAGGATGGTTATTATATGAAGGAAGTTGTCTCGTGCAGTTATCTATTTTTACATTTTTAACATAAATGTAGAGAAAAGCTAAATTTTCATTTGGTAATTGAAACAAGCTGGACAAAAGAATTCTGATCATAACTTACTTCCTAAGTATTTATAAATAAGGGCTGCAGAGCAGCTAAATATGTAATTGATGTTTATTTTTATTGGGTAGCTTAGATCACCAAAAGTGTAAGTAATAACTACGAGAGGAAAAAAATTAAGTAACGTGCTATTCCAAGTTACCATTTTAGTAATTTGTCCTTAATGTTTCCTTTCCTTACTCCCAACTTTTACAGTGATGAGCGTAAAGTGGAGATCAATCTCTGTAAATAAGTTTATATTCCACTTCTAGCATTATATGATCAGCTTGATCTAGAAAACAACATACTTTACAAATGAAACCATGATAGACAATATGTGATCTGGAACCATTATGTATAATATTAAGAAAATATATATTCTGGAGTTTGTGAAAGAAATCAAAGCATTTTCCATCAGTGATATGTACAAAACTGTTGCTATTTGTGAGTGCTTAACTCTTCATCTCTCCCACGTCTTTATTAAAAAACTCATAGAAACATAGATGATACTGTGATTATTATATATAACAGATCATTTTATTTTTGAAGAGCTGGGTTAATTCTTTAATTTTTTTCTATATTGTATTGGCAATAACACATAAACCAATATAATTGTAAAGCTTTAGAAATATGAGCACATTTTGATTGCTGAATTTCTGTTTTAATTTATATACATAAATTGAACAATATTTTTGTTTCTTTTCATGAAGATAAAAATATACTCAGATTTTTCTTCAATCTTGGTGTAAAGGTAACTATCAACATTCTCTGTTTTGTAGAATTGTGCAAAAAGTTGAATGATTTTGAAAATATTGTTTAAAAACTGTATTATTAGAATAACTAGCCAGAGTTATTCTCACTATAAACCCAAGCTTATGAATTTAACTTAATACTCTTGCCTCCTATTTTTCCCACAACAACTCAGTGAGATGGATTGGGCTAAGAAAGACTGATTATCACAAAGTCACCAGTCAGCTTTCATGCCTAAAGGAGGTGTAGAACTGACAGTCTCTTGGTTTCTAGGCCAACACCTTAACCGCTATACCAAACTAGCTCTACAGAACAGCTTGCCAGCATTCTAGGAATATGTCCCAAGTTTTTGTTGTATTTCTGGCTTATTAACTTAAAAGATTTCCAAGATATATCACAAGAAAAATGGTGATTTATTTTAAATATACTTTTACAAATAAAAAGTTACGACAGACTTACCAAGTTACCATGTTGTAGAAAAAGTTGGTTTATACTACTAATCATTATAATCCACATGTTTATCTCACATTAGCTCGGGGCAGTGGAATAATCCTGCTTGCTGTTTACTGTTTTTGTTTAACCCAGGGGAGATGGCTATTACTTTCTGGATATTTAGGATTAATTCCATTAGTTCCATCCATCATGGCCACTTAACAATGTTTATGGAAATTGTAGTTCAAAACAGTTGGAAGGCACAAGGATATCTACCCCCAGCCTACACATACATATAATTAAAAATATATTGCCATGGAAGAATAATAAACTAAGCAATGCTTAGAACATGTTAATAAAGTTAATGTTGGAAACTGGCTAATGTTATGCGAGCTTAGAGGGAGACCTCCTGAAAATATTAAGATCTTATAGGCTAGACTGGAGAGTTTTTAAAATAGCATTTCAGCAGAAGGCAACAGCTTTCTTCGTCCTTATAGTTGTCAAGAAGACTTCAAAGGGATATTAATGAAACCAATTGGAGTCAAGCTTTAGTTTTACATTATCTTGAATATAGCATTGTCTACTGCTGTGAATTGTATGGAAACCTCATGACTTGGATCTCCTCAACATAGCCCCCATAGCTTTTCTGCATATGTGCCCCTTCAGAGCATGTGCTGTTGGATTTTTGATGCTTTTATGAAGAGTGTTGGTATATTTGTAACAAATGTAAAGGGTACTAGTAATTATTTATAAGAGTACATCTTCAGCCCTGAACAATTACTTTATGCATGAAATAAAACAATGCAATAAAATGTAATGATTTATAAAATAATAATCTGACCTAATCTACTTTTAAAATGTAATGAAAATTGTCTTTGTTGCATTTCTTCAGGCATACAGCTGTCCCATGTGGGCGCCGCACTCATATTTATACCCTCTACATCAAGCTTACCTGAATGCCTGTAGAATGTACCCAAAGGTGCCAGTCACAATGTATTCTCATCACCCTTGGATGCAGGACATACCTTTGACTCAGAATGAAAATGAACAAATAGATGGTCCATTCCATGAACCAAATGGCATCAGAATCAATGGACAAAGTCTGCAGACTGATACTATGTCTTCTCCCATGCCCCTGTTTATACATGCTACCCAAGTGCCTGAAAGTCAAGGACTTGTCTGCGTAGAGTCTGAGAATCCAGAACAAGCATTACACGCTGATTATGAGGAGTCCCTAGGAAGTAAAAATATATTTCCACAACCTCCATTTGGGCAGAATCCATTTTTAGGTTCTGTACCACTTACATCAGTTTTCCCTCAATTTTGGTATGGATATCCTGTTCCAAGTTACATTGAAGATTCTGGATTGAGGCAAGTTGTGCCACCTGAGGCCAAGAGAGGTGATACGGTTTTGTCTGAGGAGGAAACTTCTTCAGTTCCAGTTGCTGAATGTGCCGAGCCACTTCAGAAAGCCAAGAGTGAAAGAAATCTCCAAGGCATACCTCTCCCTAAAACTGCCATCAAAAATGAATATAATATCCTAAATAAAACCTCAGCCCGAGTGCCTAAAGATCAGCAGACCTGTCCTGCTATCCTACCTACTACACAAACAAAACCTCTACTCCAAACCCCCCCTCCCACAGAAGCGCAGGACATCAGGAGACAAACATCAACTTCAAAATCTGAATTTAAAAATGTTCTTGGCCATAAAGAAAAGGTTAAGTCTAATGCATATATATCAGTAAGTGGGGAGGAAAGTAGAAGACCAAGGGCAAGGGAAGAGAGCTCTGAAGATGAGCATGAAGTATCTGATATGCTTAGAAGTGGCCGCTCAAAACAATTTTATAATCAGACTTGTGGTGGTAGACGACCTAGAAGTGAAAGGAGCTACCTACCTGGGAGAGGAGGCTATCAGTATCCAAAAAATGAGGAACCATGGAAGGGGTCATCTACTGGAAATAGAGGGGAAAGCTCGCATTATCACCGCAATTTCAGAGGGCGGCCATATCGGAATGAGAGGAGGAGATCAAACATGGGAAATAGTCATCGAGGGCTACAATTGTTTTAACTGTCAAAATCTAGACATTCAACATATAAATGCTGAGATATATACTCAAGGCATATATTTCTGCTTTTGTTAAATATCAGAAAATTATTTTTGTTTTGCCAAAGATGTGAGGCCTTTCAGAAATTTTAAGTGGTTAGGTATAACTTTTGGCAATTGATAAAAACTAATTTTGCTTTGTTTAATTTCTTAAGACTAAATACTATTGTGTTTGAAACATAAAAAGTGTGTTTTTGTTTGAGTTTTATTTTTCCCATAAAGATTTAAGTTTGTGATAGGGAAGAAAAAGAAGCTATAGTGAAAAGTTACTATGGTTATTTCATACCTGATGATAAAGAACAATGCAGTAAATATACTGTATAGCATAGCCTATGGTATGTTGAGTCTGAGGACTCTCAAATCACTAGACTTATTTTTGATATGCTTCCAATCCAAAGCTTTTCATCTCAAAAAAACTTGTGAAACTTGAATGTGTGAGATTTCATTTTGCTTCATTTAAAATACCTTATTTTTTTTTGCAATCACTATTTTTGTGTCTTAAGATGGTTTATTGTGTTTTATCCATAATGGTTGTGTGTGTCTGTGTGTACGTATTTTTGAACTACTTAAAACAATCAAGAAACTCCATATATCACGTGGGTAGTATACTCAATTTGGTGATGAATTCTTCCAAGGAGTCCTAATGCAGGAATGACTATAATAGTGCCTATGCGAAAATATGTATATAAGACAAAAGTAGATGCTGTGCATTTCCAAAATAATTTTACACAACTGTTACAAATGAACTTTTGAGATAGTTTTGCACTGAAAATTCTTTAAATGAACTGTGGGAGAGATGCATGAAATAGATTAAACAGCATTTGTCTTGTACTGTGGATTATTGAGGCTTATTTCTTTTGTTGTTGAACATGTTTGCATTGTTTTATAAAAATTGTAATTAAAAAAACAATTTGGTTATTGTAGAGCGAGATTTCTAACTTCACACTGTCAATCTATGCTTTCCTTTGGTATTGCAAAATGTTGCAAACCTATACTTTTTTTATTCTGTAAAACCAATTTGTGTACAGCTGTCTGTGTGTATGTAAAATGTGATTACTTTTACCATAACTTTTTTGATCAGAGGAATTGAGTGATACCTGGTAAATTCCCTTAATATACACATGTTGTATAATTAAATAGTTGCCCTTTTTGATATAGATTTGAACTGTTGGCTTATGCATTTACTTCTGTGTGTACTATAAATACCAGAAGTGACTTAAGTTTTGGACTGAAACTAATTGACAGTTAAACCTGCAGCTCAAATCACTGGTCCCTGAAACATAAGGAAATCTTAAATACCATTTTGTTAAAAAAAATTATCATTTGTAAAACAAAAAGTAATGAATACTAAGATTTTGTCTGTCATTAACTGAAATAATTTGTGCGTTGAAAATTCAACTAACTTAGCTCTTCTGTCCTTTGTTCCAAAATAATACCATTTTTTCCCTCCTCGGTACCCCTCTAAGGCAGAAACTCCTATATGTTCTAATCAATTGGTCCATTTCCCAGAAGTGCAAATAAGATGGATTAGGGAGTTTCCAATTCTTTTGGAAGAATCCACATGTATACATAGGATTACAGATAGAATGTGAAGCTTAGATAACACAGTTGCCTTTATACTAATTTAGTTTATATGCTTTCTGGAATTTTTCCTAACATTGATAATAGCCTTCCTTTACTTTCATCACAGCACTTTCCCCCAAAATACAGCTTATCTGAGGAAGCCAGTGGTGTGGCAACTATAAAAAAAGGGGATATTTCCATTATAAACTATCAAAATTTTGATCCTGTCAACTTATGTTCTGACAGAAAAAAATGTACAGGTAATCCGAGTTACGAGGAGTTACGATTAGTGCCCATTCAAAGTTACACAATAGGCACCCCGTAGTGTTTACGACCAAGTCCCAAAATTACAAATGTTGCAGCACCATGGCAGTTGTTCGCCCTTACGAATGACTGTAACATTCACCCTATTGCAAAGATCTGTCTTCTCTGCTGCAGTTTCTTTGTCTTTGATGGAGAGGAGAGTCGGCTTGGAAATGCTTTGCATGCCGAGAGTGAAAGTTTATGGGGGCTGTGATCTCGTACAACTTCAGGCACCCATCCGCTTTTACAGAGAATGGGTGCCTTGAAGTTACATGAGATCACGTCCACCAGAACATTTCACTCCCGACCGAAAAGCATTTACAACCCATCCAGTAGGCTGGAAGGGAAATTGTCCTCTTCTCCTCAAAGGCAAAGAAACCGAGGCAGGGAGGAGACAGATCTTTGCAAGGCGAGTCCGGTTCAGCAGGACTGGAGTGGGAAAGCATAAGATATCTCAATGGGTTGGGGGGCGGTTTGGGGGCCTGTTCCAGTACTAGGCCCCCCTTCCATAGCCTTCCCCACCCAGATATCTCGTGCATTTAACAACCCACGCATTTGATTAGCAAATGCATGTGCAAAAGCAGGGAGTGATCACGTTCAAAGTACACAATTCACTCCTACAAATCCTCAAGTTACGAATGGACTTGGCAGGCTGCATTACATTCGTAACTTGAGGACTACCTGTATTACAGGTTCATTTTTTATAGTAGATAAAATATGCAAATGAAATGTTGCAATTTAAGAGACGAAGCTAAACTTTCCCTTGGATTCTGAATAAACTTACTAGTTAAAGCAGTGGTTCTCAACCTTTTTAATGCCACGACCCCAACCGGTCGTAAGTCGAGGACTAAACCGGTCATAAGTCGAGGACTAAACCGGTCGTAAGTCAAGGACTACCCAACCGGTCGTAAGTCGAGTACTTTCCCTGCCCGGGAGTGCCGCGCATGCGTGGTTCCGCCCCCTGCGCTGGCCGAGACGTAGCTGGCAAGCGGCAGAGACGGAGCAGGCCGACCACCAGCTGGCCCAGCCCAAGGGAGGTAAGGCACCCACCGGAAAAGGGGGAAAAAATGGCAGACAAAAAAAATGGTGGACAAAAAAAATGGCGGACAGCCTTGCTTGGCGACCCCCATGAAATGGTCGATCGACCCCAAATGGGGTCCCGACCCACAGGTTGAGAACCACTGAGTTAAAGCTTTCAGGAACTTGTGTTACATGGTATTGATCTTAACTACAGAGACATGTGCAGCAGCATCTGAAATGGAGGAACTAGACTAAAAATAACCTAGAGTGAAATCTGGCCACTTCAAAATATGGTATTAAATGTTTTGGATAATTTATAATCAGCATCAACCAAAGGGTAGTAAGGCTAATCTAAAAACTCAAGAGTGCGTATCAGTTCTCAGATATTTGCAATCCAATTTTTCATATGGCTAAATATATTTTTGTTTTACGAAGACTTACCATGTTCATTTAATTTTGGCAAAATAAATGATGTGGGTATTTTTGGGGCCTGATGCAGATAGATCTTTTATTTTTCCACAGAAAAAACAAACAAATATCTTTTATACAACATTGAGGACTGGATAATTGAAAAGAACTTGCTACCCAAAGAGCAAACTGGATTTAGGTTTGGTCACTCTACCATTCATATAATAGAAAAGTATATAGCTAAAGGGAGCGAACTCTTCACAACTTTTATAGACCTTAGTGCATCATTTAATTCAACAAATAGGGACCTCCTTTGGAAGAAATTTATGGACCTGAACATGGATCCCAGACTCATCTCTTTAATTAAGGCATTATACTCGAGCTAATACCTACGGTTACACACAGGGACACGTAATTTCTTAACAGAAAATTAGTATCAATAAAAGGGTCAGACAAGGATGTATACTGGCTCCCATTTTGTTTAATTTGTATATTAACAATGTCCCAAACTCCAATGGATATGCATGTGCCTAAAATTGAAAACTGACATGTAAATAATCTGCTTTACATAGATGCGGTAATATTGAGGCCTTATATCCAGAATAGGGTTGAGAAGCCTGCTGTGCAGATTTAGTTCATACTGTGTACTCAACTACCTGAATATCCAGTCCAAAATTAAGGTACAGGTAGTTTTCAATGCAGAATCACTTGTTTAGTGATCATTTGAAGTTACAACACTGAAAAAAGTGGTTGTGTTTTTTTCACACTTATGACTTGTAGCATCCTTACGGCCACGTGACCAAAATTTGGACACTTGGCAACTGGCATGTATTTATGGCAGTTGCAATGTTCTAAGATCATGTTCTCACTTTTTGCAACCTGACAAAAATCAATAGGGGGAAACCAGATTCACTTAACAACCAATTTAACAACTGCAGTGATTCACTTAACTATGGTTAAAAAAAGGTTGTAAAATAGGGCAAAACTCTTAATTGTCTTATTCAGTGACATTTTGGGCTCAATTGTTGTCATATGTTCTGGACTATCTGCAGTTGTTTTGGAGAAGTGTGCTAGGTGTAATTGGAGCCTAGATAGGGAACACATCAATTAAGTTGTATCTATACTTAGAACTTTTTTCTGCAGAAACAAGATTCCTGGCTCCCATATTTTAAGACAAGTTTTTAAGAGCTACAGATTTCATGCCATAAGGCAGCTCACCAACCATAGCTACCTGAGTCCTCTATTTCCAATCATAAAGGTATGTAACAGCAAAATAGTTCCAATGACCGCATATGGCGCAGAACCATGGGAATATATAAATGCCCCTTTATTGGAACTGATAGTCTATTATTTGAAATGAATCTTGGAGTGGATAAGTCTATACCAACTCCAGACATTGGATATATCCTTTTTGATTGCAAACTGTACTCTGCAGAAAAAGCTACTTGCATAAATAAGCTAAAAAATAAAAAACCTGGGGCACCTAGCAGAAACTCTTTTTGCAGGGAATGAGCCTGCACATCAGTAATACGACTATGTTTTTAATATCAAAGGCTATTTTGAAGAGAATGGAATATTTAGATCGGACTGTAGATGTGATGACTTACTATGAACGTGTCCTATTTTCTTTATATCTATTGTACATTTGTATTTATATTTCATATTCATATTTTGATATGTCAAAGTTCTATTCACAAAACAAAATGAAATGGATATGTAATTTACAACTGATTTGTAGAAAAGGAGCTTTGTATAATCCTTTATTTACAAAGACGTGCAGCCAATCTTGAGTTTCCCCCCAATAAAAAATGGTACCTGCAAGTAAATTATCTGATTAACTGCTGTTCCTGTTACTGATCATGGCAAGTTAAAAAGTTTCTCAATGAGAAATAGGTCCTCTAAAACAGCAGTATTTGAACTATGACATTTTATTACCTGAAACTGGGAAATAAACTGTGAACCTAGCAGATTGTTTAAGAAAGAATGGATTCCATGGAACTAAAGCTATTTCTAAATTAAGCAAATACAGTTAATTCTTGCTCATTGTCAATAACGAACTGGAATTTGTCAGTAAAACACTGTAAAGCACAATGTCACATAACTGTACTGCATAGCGACAATTCCTGGTTGTCATTAAATCCTGTAATGTTTAGCATGACTTCATATGGTCATTTGTGGCCGCCTACTGACTTCCCAACTAATTTTGCTTGTCAGAAGCTGGCAGTGAAGGTCACAAATGCCGATGTGACCATAGGATGCTGTGATGTGATTGTGATCTGGTGACCAGCTCACAATAGGATGCTGTGACCATAGGATGCTGTGATGTAATTGTGAGCTGGTCACCAGATCACAATCACATCACCATAGGAACCCTGCAATGGTTACCTCAATGCCATTGTAAGTTTGAACAATAGTTGTTAAGTGAGGATTGCTACTTGTATATAATTTTGTTTTTTCAGTAAACCTTTTAGGATTTTATAAGATCCAACTCCAAACCTAATCTAGTGAAGATACACATTAGAGGCTTTGTAAAATACT